TGACTGAATTTAAGGAAACAATCTGCAGAGAAATTTTAATAGGAAAGTAACAAGAACAAAAAGATAATTGCAAATCAATGGACTCAAATCAGCCACCATGAAGTTTTTGGTTGTGTATCTTTTCAACAATTCTGATAATCAAATTTCTTTAAATTTTTGAATGTATCTGTGTGTGCACATGTGTGTATGTGCACGTTTGTGAGCACCCATGAAGGTACCCACGAAGAAGCCATTGAGTCTTCTGGAGCTCGAGTTACAGGTAGTTGTGAGTCATCTAACCTGGATGCCGGGAACTGAACTCCAGGACTCTACAAGAGCAGCAAGGGTTCTTAACCACTAAGCCATTTTTTTCAGCTCTCAAATATCTTTTTATTTACTGTGACTACTTTATCACTTTGAGTAGCAAGAAAATTGAAATGTTTTCTTAAAAACGTATAGATGTTAATTATTTTCAGTCAGGCCCAGAAATGCCTTGAAGCATTTGGGAGGCATTTGTAGGAGCATCAATGCAAGTTTGGGAACAGCCTAGTTTATACAGCAAGTTCCAGGCTATCCTGGGCTACATAGCAAGACTCCGTCTCAGAAAAGGGGAGAGATTTTTAGATGCACTAGGAAATAAACAATCAAAATAGCAGTATGGAGAAAGATATTTTGGGCAAGATTAAAGCAAATAATGCCTCCTAGGTTACAAGTTGAAATTTTGTTAATTTTATACATTTATAAAAATAATTATAAAAATTTTATAAAATTTAAACATCTTATAAAAGTATGTATGAACTATAAAAAAGGCATTTTATAAAGTGATAAAAAAACAGAGCAAGAGGAAATAATAGAGGAACATATTCATACCTAAACACTTGCCTATATAAAGCAGGGCAGTTCCAATGAATCTTTAGCAGCTAAAAGAACATTGTGTATTATGTATCTTCACTGTTCACAATACTAACCACTAGCAACATATAGTTATTGAAAACTTGGACTCCCAGCAATAAAGGAAGAAAAAAGTAGTTGAGGGAAGATGTAACCTATTCCTCACAGAAATGAATTGATGAATAAAGCAAGAAAGAACCAGACATAGTGATGCATGCCTAAAATGCCTACAGGTAAGAGGATCAGAGGCTCAAGGCTCTGTAGGCTAAAATGCCTACAGGCAGGAGGATCAGAGGCTCAAGGCTAGCCTCAGGTGTCTAGTAATTTTGGGACTAGTGTGGGCTACATGAGACATTGTCTCAATAAAACACACCCCCAAAGCAAGAATGATAGCTATGAGCTAGTAGAAAGGATTTCTCTGCAATAACTTTTTGGTTTGTTTTTATTTGGCTTCCTATTTTGACCTAAAAGAACTGGACCACTTCCACAGGTTGATAACAAACAAACACATTCCACTATTTACATGACAGATTCGGTCTGCTGTCATCACGAGTCATGGTTGATCATGTTTCAGGCATTAAAAACAATGTGTTCCCTTTTGGAACCTCCAGTCAATATTTGGATGTCCTGTTGGAATGAAGTCTCCAGACAGGAAGTACCACACCATGCACTGCTCATCTGTGTTTGGTGAGCCTGGCTCCTCTCCAGTTAGGGCTGTATCTCCATTTTCTCTTGAAGCCACTCTTTACAGGAAGTACCACACCATGCACTGCTCATCTGTGTTTGGTGAGCCTGGCTCTTCTCCAGTCAGGGCTGTATCTCCATTTTCTCTTGAAGCCACTGTTTCCCCAGTACTGTATTCTGTTCTCAGCATCTATCTTCAGGTTTCTATTGCTGATAAAACACCATCAACCAAAAACAATTTGGGAAGAAAAGCATTTGTCTCAGTCTACAGCTTGTAGTTCATCATCCAGGGAAATCGGGGCAGGAACTCAAGGCAGGAACCTGGAGGCAGGAACTGAAGCAGTGACCATAGAGGAGTGCTTCTTACTGGCGGGTTCCTTATGACTTGTTCATCCTGCTTTCTTATAGCATCCAGGACCACAGCCCAGGTGTGGCAGTACCCACAGTAAGCTGGGCCCTCCTGCATCCAGTAGCCAAGAAAATGTACCACAAGTTTGCCCACAAGTCAATCTAGTGGAGGCATTTTCTCAGTTAAGGTTCTCTTCTCCCTAGTGATTCCAGCTTATGTCAAATTGGGATAAAAACTAGCCATCACAGAGCCTCAGTAAAACTGCTCTCCCCAAGGATCTCCACCACCTTCCAGAGACCAGGTGCAGTGGACATCCTCCAGCACTGATCCTAAAGAAGGTGTATGCAGCAGTGTGACCACATGCTTTGATAGCTCCCTTCCATTATTATTGTTATTATTACTTCTGCTGCAAGCTTTCCAACTCATCGTCTACCTCTGTCTTAGGGCTTCTATTGCTGTGAAGAGACACCACGACTAGGGCAACTCTTTTTTTTTCCCCACTCCACAGCAACTCTTATAAAGGAAAACATTTAATTGGGACAGCTTGCTTATGTTCAGAGACTTGCTTCATTATTTTATGGCCCATCATGAGCCTCCCAGAGACTACCAGGAGTCTGAGTTCATATGCAAAAGCAAAGAGCCTTTATTGCAAGCTTAAGCTTGGACTTTCTGTCCATTCTGACACACAGTTGGATCAGGGAGAGCAGTGAGCTCAGTTATGGCAAGGGTTTTTAAGCAGTAAAGGATGGGAGGTTAGGGGAATTCTGGATTCAGATGGGGGTTGAACTCCTGATTGGGCAAGAGTGAGGCAATAGAGGCTTGTCAAACAAGGATTGGTACTGGCATTGTTGCAAGGAAATTGGCAACCTATATATAAGTTATGTAAGCTATCCTGGATGTTCTGGAGCATCTAGTACTTGTTTGTCTCAATTCTGATTGGTCCCCCACAAGGTACAGTTTGTGATTTTTCCTGGTTATTGTAAGGGTGAAACCTAGTCCCACGATTGTTAGCCTGCAGCCTGTCATGGCTGCACCGATGTTAAGTTATGCCGTTTCAATACAACATGGCAGTGTGCAGGCAGACACGGTGCTGGAGAAGATGAGAGTCCTACATCTTGATCCACAGTCAACAGGAAGTGGTCTAAGACACTGGACATGGCTTGAGCATATATGAGACCTCAAAGCCCACCCCCACAGTGACACACTTCCTCCAACAAGACCATACTGCCTCATAATGCCTCTCCCTTTGGGGACCATTTTCTTTCAAACTGTCACAACCTCTGTAGATGATTGCTTTTCCGGTTGCCACTTGGACACCAGGATTTCCATAGGACTTCCTTCTCAGACACTCACTTACCTGACTCATCAGTGAATCCTGCTCTCCTGGATGGTCCTTAGGGTGTTCAAACTTGGCCCATAATTCTCTCAGCACCATTGTCATTACTTTGCTTGTACATTTCTGCCTTGGTTTTGTGACTCCCTCACTTATCCCATCATACAAGCCAGAAACTAGAACTTTTCTTGGCTCTCCCCACCTTTGTCTGCTTCATCCCATTGTTCTCCAAATCCTAAAGAGTCTCCTGCAGTCTCTAATCTTCCTAGCCTCTGCTCTTTACATCACAAGAATCTCCTGGAATTTTAAAGATTTCTCACCTGGCCCTGGACCCCACTGTCTTGCTTTTTTAAATGTTCATTTTTGTGCTGCTCTCTTAAAAGTTAAGCCTTTGGGCTAAGAGGCATAGCTCAGTAAAGTTCTAGGCACACAAGAATTTGATCTCCAGAACCCACTTAAAAGTGGCAGGTAGGTGGCTCCCTCTTGCCATCCTAGTTAGCACTGGTGAAGAAGAGACAAACAGATTCTTGGGTTTTCTGGCCAGCCAGCCTAGCCCAAGCAGTGAGTACCAGGCTAGTGAGAGACCCTCTTTGAACAAGCAAAAACCAAACAAGCACTCATCCCTAACACACACATCCACATGCACACTTACATACACACCCATCCCCATCATACAACATTTTAGTGAGGGAGTAGAGAGGTGGCTCAGCAGTAAAGAGCACGGGCTGCTCTTGCAGAGGATCTGGATTTGGTTCCCAACATCCCCATGGCATCTCACAAGCATATGTCACTCCAATCTCAGGGGATGTGATTTCCTAGCCTCTAAGAGCACAAGGAACACATGTGGTACATAGATACACATTCAGACAAAACACCCATACACATAAAATAAATGTTTCAAAACTATTTTTTCTTTTCAGATTTTTTTATTTGAATTAGAAACAAGATTGTTTTACATGACAATCCCAGTTCCCTCCCCCTCCTGTCCTCCCCTACCCCCCCCCCCCAACTAAAACCCTACCTATCACATACCCTTTCTTCTATTCTTCCCCTGACTCAACCTTTCTGCTCCCTCATGACCTCTGCATCCTTCCTCTTCTTCCCTTCTCATTCTCGTAGCTCCCTCCCCCATCATTCCG